TGCTCATGTGAGAATATTAACAGCCAACTTGTTTGGAGACACTCTTATCTAAATGAAATTGGAACAAGGACAGTGAAACATTCCTTTATATAATTTGCATTTGGAAAAAGGGACCCTAGGCTCATTATTTAAGAAAGTGTAAGCTCCTTTTGTGCCAAATCTCATTAAAGCCATCCCTAGTTCCTTTGTTTACTCCCTCTAATCGAGGCATTTATCTTTATTGTGCGGTGCCCGATGTATGTTTACTGAAATTAATACACATTTGAGCCGGGATGAGGTATGGGTGTAGCAGATGGATAATTGATTTTAAAGTGAATCAGAACTGTTGAGCCATAAAATGGGTACATTAGCATGCATATTAATAAGGCAAATAAGAGCACTAAGACGCTGCCACCAAGTCAGACACAATGGCAAGCTTCATATAGTGAAATGGTAGGAAAGACAGCAGGATCCCTCCTTCCTTCTCCTCCTTTTTTTCTTTCCACCCACTCTCTTGTTTCACAGTATTTTGTAGATATGCACATAACAAACATTTCTTGAGACAGTAACTTAACATGTATCTTAATCCACATTCCCAGTGCTCTCATATCCTTCTCTATGGCTCTTTTCTTAAGTGTACACATGGCTGCAGTTTCCTCATTTACAGTAGCAATGTAAAACCCACTGTGATGGAGTAATCAGACTAGGAAAATGGCTTTGCCATTTGAGAGAATGTTAAAATAAGAGAGTATGAGGAGCTGTGGTATCTAAGCCAACAATTTCAGTTTGTCATTTATTCTGTTTAAAAGCAAGACACTATCAAACACATAATATCCTATATTTTGCGGTTTGATAGCTTTTCATTGTATGATATCACAGTTCTTTCCAGAGCAAACAAACACTGAGGGGTTTTGTGAAAGCTATCCATCTGTAGCTTCCCAGTGATGACTTCTCATCAGCAGCTGATGAGGACTTTTTTTTTTTTCTGGTGTAGCGTCTGTCCTATTTCATCCATACCAGACCCCTCACCGCCTCTGTGAGTTGCATTTCTTTTTGTCTGAGAGAGAAGGTCTGGGAGAAGCATTTTCCCATTGGGTCAGGAATAAATTGAACTTTTTCATGGACAGCAAACACTGATTAGATATTTATGACCAAGGTCAACCCCTCTGATTCCAGCTGGCACAGGCTCTGAGGCATACAGAACAGAGCCTCTACACACATGCTCACATTCACGCACACACCAACACGCACTTATCCTACACTACATACACTCACACACATACTCGACCACGCAAATATGCCTGCATGCAAAATATGATTCCGCACTTTGTAGACAGCATTCATGTGCATATACACCATCTCTGGACAATATGTATAAATGTCTAACTCCGTACTTGTTCCAGAACTGCAATGTGATACAGTATATGGATTACCCTGTAAAATTTACTAGCTGGTATTATCTCATTTGGTTGTACTAACTGTAAGGTCTGCATTAACTATAGGAATTTGCAGGCCTGAATTTACAGTCTAGACATTCTGATGGTAATGTGACTGCAGCCAATTTATCACGCTAGTGCAGAGTTAACAAGGTCTGAGGACACCGAAGCCTGAGAAAGGTTTCCGAGGTGTCGCTTACTGTATACAACGCAGTGAAGAAGGAGCTATCGAGGTTGGATCCTGTGATTCATCCCCAGCCTAGAGGACTTCCACTTATTAGGTAATTTAGTCCAGACTTGTGGTTGAAGGTGATAATAGCTTGAGGAAAACAGATAAAGACTCAGACATGTACCATAATTAGAGGGTTAATTATGTTTACATTACCTTTGATGGTGCTCAAATTTTCACTGACTCACCCACAGGCTCACTTGCTCACCCAGCCACTCTTCTCAAATTTCTTGCTTTGTCCTTATTCCACTTCCTGTCTGCCTGCTCCCTCACACCCCATTTCTCAATATGTTGCCCACAGCTGCTTCTGTCTGAAAACTGTCCAGCTAATTAACTGGTGGGTCTGTCGTTGTAATAAGAATCATGACAGCAGATGAACAATACATCTGCTACTCTTAAATTTTTGTAATGACACTGGGTCCTTTTTGGGGCTCTTTGCAACTCTCTATTCACCCAGGGACTGTACAACTTCTAAACCAGTCTATACCCTCAAAAAGACTTTGACTTTGGTTTACAAATTTGTGATTACATTTGCTCCAAACTCTCTCTTAACTGGCGCTGTCCTTCCACACTTCCTGTTTGTAGTCTGACACGTTAAACACGTTTACAGTAGCCCATGCTTGTGATTCCCGTAGAGCACTGGCTACCCCAGTAACTCTACTACTATAGATAACAGTTTAATTACTGGTCAGTGTTTCAGACAGAAAAAAATCCCACAGCGAAATACAAGTAAATGCCATGGTGGAGGAGCAAATAAATGAGCAGCTACTCTTTATTTTCCTTGCCCTTGGCATCTTTTTAACAGGCTGCATCTAGCCATATTATCACATCAACCGTTCTGCTATACCGAAGCTGCATAGAACATAAACAGACGCCAACGTCTTTTCAAGGCACCTGCTATAAAGTGTTACACTGAGCAATAAAAATGCCTGAGAGCTAGTGGCTGAATAAATAATGGAAATTAATTAGACAGTTACGAACCAAGAGCAGTGGTGTTTGTCTAGGCGCTTGTCAGTGCTTTGGCTCCCAACTATTTACCATTCACCTACAGTATCTCAGGAATACATGAAGAAGGAACTGGTAGAAATCCTGTCAGTTAAACACACTTAGGCTCCTGTTGAAATATAATGACACAGCTTATTGACCCATGTCAGGTAACTTGTTGAGTTTAAAACGAGATTGTGTGTAAAGTTAGCAACTATGCAACGCTCACAGTTTAAATCACCAGGTCTGCTTTTCTTGAAAGAAAATCCTTTCTCAGTCTGGGCCCTATTTTTATAGTCTGGCCTTTACTTTTGTAGGTTATAAAACACTTTACTCACTAAATAAATAGCTGATATGTCAGGATGCAGCAGCAGCAGCCTTAAAACAAAGCCCTGTAGGACAAGCAACAGCAGTTTGATCAAGATAAGAGGTTAATGTTATTGAGACAGTTTGTCGTCTTGTTTGTTTGTTGTCAAACTTCACACGCTGCAAATGCTTTTCAGTTGACAATCTACCATCAACATTATGAGCTATGAATATATTCCACCTCTTTATTAGGCTTGAAGCATAAAAATAAATCGCTTCTTCCTTATTGCAATTTTTCAAACAAGGCAAGCTAGGCTTACACATATTTCATGCAAGACTTTGTATATTAAAGACATTATTCCAAAATGTGATACTTACTTGTTTAATGTGGATAATTGTAGTTTTATTGTTTTAAGGGTATTAAGTCAAATTAGAATTTGCTTGAGAGCACTTTAGTAGTCTGGATTCTCCAGTTTTAAAGCCAGCTTTTCAAGGTTTGCTTCCCTCTCAAAATGAATATATAAAGAGCACTATCCCAGTGTTAGTGTCTGTGCTTTTTTGGCTGCACATCTGTATGTGATATATATAGTATTACAAGTTCTCATCTTTGTTTTTTATTTCTTTCCTTTCTGTAAAAGGTTACCCTAATATTGTGGCAACGTACGGCCGAGGATACACTGGATTCGCACCCAGCTACAGCTACCAGTTCCCTGGTGAGTTAAAGGCTTTCTGACATCAGTTTTGCAGAGGCTACCTGTTACACACTCTCAAGCAGCAAAACTCTGACACACATACACAAATCCCAACACACACTTGCATACAGAAATCAAGTTCATCAATGTACACTTAAGTCACCAAATAATCTTCATGCTTATAAGTATGTTACGTGTCTGGATTTCTAAGACAGCTTATGAAAGTTGACATGTGGTGAGGTAAGTCGCTTACCTCTTTTTATCCTATGCTTGAACAGAACCATGACCAAATTTCTAAAATGGAGAACGTTCTTCATCCTCTGTGGCCCAGTGTATGCAAATTTATCTGTGGTGAAGCAGAAAAATAAGCACAGTTTTGTGTAGGCAGATTTTAAAATGTGGTTCTTATAATGGAAAATGAATGAAGTCATTTTCTGCATTAAAAGTGTTGACTCAGAGTGCCGGGCACTTTAATGGGAGTTCAAATGGAAGGCATGCAGTGTGGAGGTGAGCAGCTGTACCTAAGTGCTGCAAGAGGGCCTGTGGCTCTGTGGTGCCTCACTTACACAGGCATCCCATCAATTTCATGCTTTATTTAGGGACTTTACGCATACTTTGTTTGCCACGCCAGACACCATTCCTTCCACTGATAAGATTGGAATGGGAAATTTCTCAGAACAGCTCAGGCCTCTGTAATATTTTTGTGAAATAGAGTCCGAAACGGTAAGACAGGAGGTCCAGTTGTGGGCACCTGCAGGCCAGACATATGCTAGATTTATACTTAACCACATTATTTGATAGCTGAAAGGGAATAGCACCTATTCATTACTGTGGGCAAGCATGAGAAGCAGGCAAATGAGGCAATTAAAATTTTTGTCTGTTCTGTTTGTTTATATATATAAAGTGAGAGAGAGAGAGGAATTACATGACAGTAACAATTTATTTTGATAGCTGATTCGTGTAAACATCAGTCAGCAAACCAGCAAAGTAGAGAACAGTTTTTAGGTGTGGCATCAATGACATTTAGGATTAGCCAAAGCAAGTATTTAATATACTGTCAAATTCCCTAAAACTTTAATGAACTTAGATCTACAAAAGAAAGGAGATTCAAGGGAAAGGAGTGATCAGTATTTTCTCTATATAACTCTGGTTAAACATAGCTTTTTAAAATGTTTACTATTTAGAACAAATTAAGGAATATCACCTTCCCCGAGGCAGAATGTATGATCCTGTCCATGTTAAATTCAATTTAAAGAGTTTGATAAAGCTGTATGATTAAAACAGCCTCCTCTGGGCTTGCTCAGCTCTTGACAGGGTAATTGGAATTTTTAATGTATGAATCAAACTCCTTGTCCAAATTAAATAACCTCAGGCCAAATATTGACTAGTGTCCTTCTTTACTAAGACGTGGAAAACATCTGCAATTTAAGATCAAAGGCTTTTTCTCACTGTACACAACCTCGCTGAAACACTCCTATAAATAAATGGAGCTGGGACCAGGCAGGCTGGATCCAAGAGGCGTAAATTGTGGGCAGCATTTCAAGGCTTTTTTATAGTCAGTAAACCTCAGGGGTCCACTGTTAACAGAAAAAAGTGGTTAGGCAGTTGCTCAATTGTCAAGATAAAACAGTGATAAAACATTGATCAGTGATGAAACGCTGAATTAAGTACAAAAACTCAATAAGATGTTCACAGTATAAGAGAAACCAAAGCTGACATCCCTGTAGCTGAATCAGAGCTCAAGTGTAGAAACAGAGTCTAAAAGAGATGTGAAATATACAGAACCTGAATGGTTTTTTAAAGACAGCTTTCAGCGCAACCAGCTGAAGTCAAAGCACTCTGGTCCTTGTGACACTCCAGTTAATTCCAGCATTGATCACAAAGTGCATTTGATATCAGTCACATACAGTATGTTTCTCTGTGTCTGTATTTGTATGCCATGAGCTGCTTACAAAACTACTGCATCACAGCACAGACATCATTACTATTTAATGCACTGGAGACCTTCACACACTTTATGACTGATCATTAATCAGATCATCATCTATTTGTCAAAAACATGTCCATACAAACGAGCATGTATCAGAGCATGGCCACACAAAGCTCATATTAAAAAGTGCATTTCTATATATTTCGCAGTAAGAAAGGAGATTAAAATTCTTAAAGATGCCCTGTTGAGCTTTTGACTAGTGGCACTGTAGAGAAGTGTTTTACCAAGTCTATCTGTTGCATTGTTTGTGTGTATAGTTAGGGCTAACACATGATAGCTATATGAGACATCTGCTGATTGCACAGAGCAGTAATACTGTTGCTGGGGTAATAATGTGCCAGTAAAGTGAGGAAGAAGACTGCAGGGACAAACAGTACAGTGTTTGCAGCAGTAAAAGCAAATTTAAAAAAAAAAAAAAAAGCTTTACAAATGTTTTTTGAGGTAGAAAATGCATCTGGACTGCAGTTTAGTTTGATAAGAAACACTGAATTAAAAAAAAACCCTACAGGGTACCTATACATGCAGCACAAAGATGTAAACCTTGAAATTGTAAGGACTAGATAACTAGCTGCTAGTTAAGTATCATAAGACTTACAGACTTGTTTATATTATTGTTAAAATATAGCTGTTTTCACTCATGAACTTTTTACTAGTGTATGTCCACAGAATCAGATCTGGACTTTGTCCAGAGTTGCCCTTTGATGCGCATAGCACACAAAATGAGATGGTCCGTGTGTCAGATGCGTTCTCACCTACTGGACATACCTAGGCCTGGGTAGAATGTCAAGAGACAGGAAAGTTGTCTGATGATTCTGCCGCCGGCTCTTCACAACAGAAGTTCCTGAATCTTGTCGTGCCTCCAGTTAAATACTTTCATTGCATTGTCGTGGATGGCCAGTAATGACGTCAGATTAAATTAGATTAAACAACAGTACTTTATTATGTGATCAGTAGTAATATGGCAGTACAAACAGGAAGTACGCACTACACCTACAACCCCACAGGATATGCCATAGCAGTATAAAGTTTTCTTCACCATCAGATGTTTGTATTCATCCAGTTTCCTGCTGGTCACATGATAGAACCAAACGTCATCAACACACCAACTAACTTGCTGAATTCCAAGACTATATACTGCTGTTTTCTCACATGGGCTCACTTGGATTTCATGCAGACCTTATACTAGGGAGCTGGCAGGTTAAAGTATTCTTAATGGCCGGAGGGGGGGCAATGTCAGCGAATCCCAGCTGACACTGGGTGAGAGGCGTGGTACACCCTGGATAGGTCACCAGTCTATCACAGGGCTGACACAGGAGGGCAATTTAGAGTTGCCAGTCAACCTAAGTTGCATGTCTTTGGACTGTGGGAGAAAGCTGGAGCAGTCGGAGAAAACCCATGCAGGCAATGGGTGAACGTGCAAACTCTGGACTCGGACCCGGCTCGAACCCAGAACCTTCTTGCTGTGAGGCAACAGCGCTAACCACCACCCATGCCACATACTCATGAAATTTTATCTAAAACTTTTTATTGTATTTCCTGGACAGAATTTTTTTTTTCACAAGTGCATAGAATTAATCTTTGAACATATTTTAATAAATTATTTTAGTCTAATTATCCTTGATTGGTCTTTTCAGAAAGCATTCATGCTGATAGCAGAAAGCGGATCATGGAATAGAAGTGTTTGATACGAATATCCTCTCTGACCTTTGCTCTCTGTAATTTCCAAACTGTAGTTAATAAGCACTGCTGTAATAGCACAGTGTTTACCTTGTTGCAGCATTGTTTCAGCAACTTGCTTCAGAAACTTGCTTATACTAAAGGTGGAACAGAATTTCAGAGATGATGCTGAACACTGCATGTGTAGTGACAGTCAAGAAGACAGCATCTTCTACCTCAGAATCACAAATGGTAAGGCAGTGTCGCAAATGATTAGCATCATCCCGAAGTTTGATTAGCAACAAGTCTTTTTTTATTTTATGTATTCATTAGAACTTTTCTTTGTGATAGTGGCTGCAACTATTTGATTGTTCACTATATTTAAGTATCAGCTTTACATTGATTTGTTAACTAGGAGGGTTTAGCTCTTGCAAGACACCTGTAACACAATGGTACACAATGACTTATGGCAGTCATTCCTGTCAACAAATGTCAGAACATTTTCTCAGATTTTGCATATGCACCTGCAAGACTGTGATGACAAGCAGTAGTAGTACCAGTGTCAATCAGAGCTGAAGGGGCTGTGACGTGTGCTTGCAAAGGTATTTTATGATATGTGAGTGTTGTCATTTTCTGTGTGCATGTAAACATCCTACTTAGGATTAAGAGGTTGGCCTTTTTCTTCAAATAACATTACCCTGTCATACTTGTGTTATTGCAATGCAGTCATCACACAACTTCAAAAGAGACAAATGCTAAAAGTACCAAGAATAGTTTTGTGTACATCTAGAACGTGCTTACAGAAATGATGCCAGGGAGTGTGCTGTTTGGGGCTCTGATAATGTCAGTGTCCCCTCTAACTTTAAATAACCCTCACTGTGAATGGCTTTGATCAGAGAATTATTCTGTTTACCTCCTGTGTACTGAGGTGGAGAAACCACAGAGACCAGAGAGTTAAGAGAGACCGGTGGTGTTACTATTATCAATGAGATGCAATAATAAATGTGCTGTTATGGTGAGATGACAGCATTAGCTGATATCCTATATAACACCATCCGATAGCTTCTGAGTGATGTTAGGGTGGCACATATCTGTGAATGTTGGTATTAGTATCAGGTAGGTAGTTGACATGTCAGTCATGTAGTTTCAGTTTATTTTCAGCTACTGACAGTTGCCTATGAACATACAGCAGTAGAACGTCTGTGGTAAATTGTTTTAAAGTGATAATGTTGCATTCTTCAGTCAGATATATGG